TTCTTCTTTTTCCTTTTTTCGAGATCAAATTTGTAATTTTTAATTTTTGCTTTCTTTTCCGAAATCATTTCTTATTTGCTTTTTTTTTTGCATTTGACAATGAATTAAATTAAAATTAATATAAGTGCAGAAATATTTTTTATTTCAATTTTTCCAAAAAATAAAAATAAAATTTAAATTTTTTTAAAAAGGTTATTATAGTTTATGCTATTGTTTTTTTTTAATTTGCTATAAATTAAGGAAAAAAGGGAATAAACTAATAAATTAAAATAAATTTTGAGAAAAATATTTAATCATTTATCAATCATTAATCACTTATAATAATCTGTCATTTGGTCATTTTATCATTTTATTTTATAAAAAAAAATTTCATTCACTATAATGTATGTTTTACATTTTAAAACTGTTAACATAAAAACTGTTTTCGTTTCTTTTTTTCAAAAATAATTTCAACAATTTAATGAATGATTACAAAACTTGTCACAATCATTTTTCTAATTTTGTCACATGCCTGGAAGGTTCGTTCATTTTGATCTTCGTGTGTCTTTTGATGTTTGCGTAATTTCATCTCAAATATCGTTCAACTTTTGAGACTGTCAACGATTTTTAAATAGATAGCTCTTTCAGTAGGTTTTACTTGTAATTTGCTTTAATCTAATATTTGATTATTATCTTACGAGTGAAATAACCAATAAATTTGACAATAAATAAGTTATACTTTCATCACATTAAGTTTATTTTTAATAATTTTTAATTGTTTAATGACATATGCTAAAAGGAAGTATAACTATGCTGAATTCTTTTTCATTTACTTAAAATGAATAATTGAAAATATTTTTTTATTTCCAAAATTTCTTATATTTCATTTTATTGTCTTGATAAAAAAAAAAACAAATTCAGGTTTTATTTCATGACAGAATAAAAAAAAAACTTTGAACATCAAAATCTGCCATATTTCAACGGAAGATATGTAGAAATGAATGATTATATATTCCGTTTACAGAAGTTAAATGTAAAGTAGACACTTTTTTATTTTTTAAGATAAGAGACAAATGAGACAAAATATTTTAAAGGTCATATGAGGACAGTTAAGCAAAGGTCACATTTAAGAAAGATGTCGTTTAAATGGTTAAATAGAAAAGGCTATCACATATAGATATGTGTGTCTCTTTCAAATAATGATGAAAAATATGAGCAATGAGGAAAAAAAAACGAGAAATTATCGGTAAGATATAACTTTGAAATGGATGATAACAAATACAAAATCCAGTAATTATAATTCATTGTGATTAGTTTCATGGATAAGATGAATTAACCGGAATTCCGGATTCTATCTTATCAGTTATGTGTTCTGATCATAGAAATCAAATGTAAAGTAGACATTTTTTTCTTTTTTTTAAGGGAAAAAAGATAAATGAAACAGAATATTTTAAAAGTCATCTAAGGTAAGTCAGGCAAATGCGTTTAAATACCGGTATGGAATTTTGCTCGGTAAATATCACAACTAACAATGATAATTAGTATCCGGATGTTTAAAATCATAAATGTTACTTTGATCTTTAATTGTTAATAGTTTTTTGGAATATTTGATAATGATAGTGATAATGATAATTAGTATATGCTAATTATTTAATTATTGAAATTCGATATTTTTCCGGAATAGAATTCAATAATATTTTTCTCAACAATTCTTCGTTCTAGGAAAACAATGGTAATAGCGAATTGTAAATTAATAAGCTAACCATATATCAAACAATTTAGTCAATAATTCGAGTAATAATTAGTAAAAATGATAATTTCTGCATTAATTAAACTGCGTATTATTAAATTTTTGATGCATGCTTTCAAAAAAAAGTATGTGAATTTTCAAATTAAATTTAATTTTGTAAGGCTTTTTTTTACTGAAATAATTTAAAAAAAAAACCTTAAAAACAAAATATGATTGAAATATTCAAAAGACTCTCCAATCGATATCATTGCATCAAAAGGTCAAATCATCAATGAGATTGTTAATTAAAATGATCATTTCATTTATCAGAGACAAACATCAACAAACATGTCATTGCTTAACAATTTATTTTAATGTATTTTTGAATGAAAATATTTTTGCACTTTACAATTTCTATTTTGAATTCCAGGTCAGGTCATAATTTCTTAAAATCAGGTGATTAGGTCAAACATTTTCTCAATGATTGATGCAATTAAGTGATAAATGTTTAAATGAATTATTCTTTCATTGAACAAATTAATAAATAAATAAATGAATAAACAAATATGGAAAAACAAACAAACAAACAAATGAACAAATAAATGAGCTATATGAATTATTGTAAAAAAATTTTCTTAATTTAAATATTGTTTATAAAATTTTCTCTTTTTTTTTCTTTAATTTAATGTAAAATTGATAAACGGTATAATTGTACTGGAAAAGGTGGGGTTAATTAGAAAGAGAGGTGTGACATATCTGAGAAGCGGGAGATAAAAAGGGAGGAGGCGGGGAAATGGGACATTATTGTTGTCAACGAAAAGTTATTAAAAAGGTAGTATGGAATAGTAATGGATAGATAAGTTTAGTGATGGGTATGGTTGAACTGATCTAACTTCTTTGTTTAAAAAATAGTTCAAATTTTACAAATAATGTTGCTAACAATTTTACATTTATTTCTATAACCATTAATTTCTCCATCATTTGCATTTGTTTTGTTATTTAGGCTACAATTGATATCCCCTTATTTGTCAGGCTTTTTATCTAGGCTTATAAGCTTATTTGCTAGGTTTTTCAGTAAGACTATAAGCTACACTTTTATTTATTAGATCCTTTATCCAGTCTATAAGCTCTATTTCAATTTACTAAATTTTCCATATAGGCTAAGAAAAAATATCCTGAAATTATCATCCAATCTAAATTTCTTCCCAGCTCTTCTTATTGACCATCCAATTTGCATCACTGACCATTACTTCTCATTGACCATTTTAGTTAAGCATTTCATCCATTTAGACATAGTTTTATTAATAACATGGCAAGGAGATTACGAAAATTCTGATAATCTTTTGTGAATTCTGATTTTGATAATCTTTTGTGATAATTCTGATAATTCTGATGATCATTCTGATAATCTTTTGTGAATCTTTTGTTATTTTAATTTTCTTTTTTCTATATTCCTTATTTATATTATTATTATTATTATCATAAGGAAAGACATTATTAGAGATCATTGTTATCATTAGGAAAATACGTTTAATTTATTATTGATAATCAATTAAATTCACAAAATTATGGATTTAATGAAATTTTGATCAATTATCATTTTTAATATCACTTCAAACTTATCATTATCAGCATTAATTTCAGTGTACTGATTTTCCTGCATTTTTTTTTTTTGCAACAAGAATAACGAATAAATTGATAATGCATTTGAATCAGAAATTGTTATTGCTCTACTTTATTATCTTATCAAATCTTAATTTGGTGATAGTAGGACGATCATATGAAGCTGGTAAGTTATTTCTTACTCGTTTTATCACTTTTATCACTTTCTTTTATCATTTTCAAATTAACATTTTTTTTTTTGAATTAATAATATAACTAATAATAAATTTGACTTATTTGGTTAATAAATATGCTGTAATCATTATGGATTAATTCAATTAAAATATGAAAAATTTGATGATTATAATGATAAATTTTCTCAAGAAGTTAGTGATAACCATATCCAAATTATGATTATTTTATCATATGTCAAGAATGACCGGATAGTGTTACATCTATTTCAATACAAATTATCATATTTATTCATTGATTTGATTAATCAAATAAAAATTCCAATTCATGGTACTAACAATTTTCGAATAATTGCTACTGATCTAATTTATGTTCTACATCTTCTTGTTAGATTACAATAAACTAAATAGTAAATAGTTTAAAGTAATTGTCATATTTTACAAAAAAAAATTATTAAATTTAAAATTAAATTAGGTCGAAAATAAAACAAAAAACAAAACAAAAATTTCCACTTTCTCTAAATTTTGATTAAACAAAACCAAAAAAAAAGTTAAAGTTTTCTTTTCATTTAACTTCATTTAATTTATTGTCAAATATTATTTTTTTTCATTTTTATTATAATGTTATATAAAAAGAACAGAAAAAAGAAAAAACTTTACATTTTTCTAATATTCTTTCGGTTTATAAATTAAATACAAATTTATTTTTGTTAAAAAAAAAGAAAAGAACAAAATTTTGCGTGCAAAAAAAAGTGCTTAATAGTTTTTTTTTTCTTATTTTTTTTTTATAAATAATCAACCTTTTCATGATTTTTATTGAAATTTATTTAGGTGGATTAATGCGAGATGATTATGAATATGCCTTGGAAGGTATTGCCGTTGATTATGTTACTAAACGGCCAAGAAGTGGTACCATTTCTCGAATACATAAGAATAGAAAACGATTAAATCATCCACGAAATATCAACAATAATTTATATCCTTTTGCTTCATCATCATCATTATCACCATCATCATCATCATCATCATTATCATTATCATCACTACCATCATCATCATCATCATCATCGTCGTCATCATCATCATCATCATCATCATCGTCATTATTATCATCATCATCATTATCATTATCATCGTTATCATCAAAGAACACCATTGTTTATCATCATAAATCAACAATGTATGGATAGTTAATGAAATTAATTTTTGTTACTAAAGTTATTTTATCAAATTGTACAAAAAGAAAACAAATGAAATTTGAAATATTTATCTTATACCGATTTTTTATCATTGATCTTGTAATTAAATATGCAAAATTAATTAATGAAAATTACGAAACTAGAAAGAAAAAAAATGATGAAAATGATGCAAATTGTACGAAAAATTTGAAAATTCTGAAATCTCTTTTTTTTAAAAAATTTCATAAGAGTTTATCAAATTTTGAGATTTCGTGAGGAAAAAAAAAACTTCCAGTAAAATGATTCATTCAATTTTATTGAAAAACTAGAAATCTTCCTTAAACTAGCGCAAAAATCAATGAATAAGCGCAAATGTAACATGTTATAATTTATATGCAAAAAGATAAAAAAAAAGGAAAAACATTTACATCATTTTTAATCAAATATATTTTTTGATGAAATAAAATGTATTCATTCATTCAAACATATGATATCATCAAATGAATGGTTCAAATAATTGATGTAATCATTTTATCACTAATTATGTTAATTAGACAAAAGTGTCTTTTCTTTTCGAATTATTTTTACAATGGCATATCATAATTCAATTTGACAGTTTTTTTTTCCTCCTATACATTTTTTTAATGTTATATTGTTATATTCTTTGTTGCTTGTTATTAATTAATATTATTATTATTTTTATTATCATTATTAGTACTATTATGATCATTATTATCTATGCATGTAATATAATTGTATGCGTGATTAAAATGATTTATCAACAATAATTCACTTTAGAAAAAAAAAATTACTATAGTTCATTAAAATTCTACAATTTCAATCTTTTAACATAATTTTTTAAAGTAATCATCCCAATTAAACTCCATTTCCATTTATCCATTCAATTAGTTCCAATTAAGTGACAATTATTACAAAAAATCTTCTCTACTGTATAAGTTATAATTATTATTACATCTGAATTTATTGCATATCTTCTTCATAACAAATGATCTCATCAAATATTGCTCGCATTTATTGTTATAATAAAACTTAATTTTAATTTGTTCTCACACTACCTTACAACTTTTTATTTTTGTTACATAAATTGTTTGCTTGAATTCTAAGAAAAAAAAGTGACTTATTTTAAAATTTACAAGATGAGGGCAAATATTATTTTAATTAGTTTTTCTTTCGCCCTTAGCAAATCTAATTGAGGATAGAAATCGTTTTTTTTCTATTTTTTTTACTGAAAAATTATGAATAGCTTATCACTTATTTACAACTCTTTCCTTGACATAATACAATTTAAATTATCCACTCATTTTGTATGAGATATCATGGGATATGGGATAACAGATGGTACAAATTGTCAATTGATAGGTGAAGAAATATTTATGAGGTGGAAATTTGAAAGAAATTTTACACGAAATGAATTAAGGAAAATAGCAGGTAGAATGTTTCCGGTTAGTAGGTAGTACATCAGTAAGTAACGAATGTTATAAATGGTCAGATAAATAGCAATGAATGCCTCAATAAATTTTGAAAATAATTGTGAATGAAATTTTTTAAATTTGCAATCACAAATCTTTTCAATTTTTATTTTCTGCATTAAAAACAATGGTTGCAAAAATTGCTTTTAAAGAACACAGTTATGATGAGATGATGTAGAATGATTTTGGTCAAAGAAAACAATCGACAAAAGAATAAACACAATTTGTTGCACATTATTAATAATAATAAAAATAATGATAAGAAAAATTAATGAAGACAACAACAAATTATTCAAAAAAGTGCCACCGATAGATAATAAAATAACGATCATTACAGAATTTCAATTTTGGTATTTCTTCTGTTAATTATTTCATAGTTTACTGAAAATGCAAATATCGGAAAAGAAGTAGCTGCCGATGCATTAAGTCAGCATCTTTATTACCAGAGAGAGCAATTTAGGATCAAATGTCCAATAGGTACTGCTTACTGGAATATCAAAATTGATGGATTTAAGAAAGTTAACGTAAAGTCTATTCCTGATATGGACCAGGAACACAACTCTAATTTCTTTCCAGATAATTTTAAGGTAAAAGTTTTCAAAATAATTTTAAATTCAAAAACCGACTTGTCTCGAAGACTGAAACTCCCTCAAACAACCACTTTCCATACATCTCTTCCCTTGATAAGATATCTTTATCACATAACCTGAACTCTATTTCCCGAAATTAAAACAACTTAATTAGCTACTCTTAATCCAACAACACGAAGGTAAAGAACACTTTTGCATCAAATGCAATGCGGAACATATACTAGGATGAAGATTTATTATTCTTCATCATCACCATAAACAATTGCTTGTTCCAACATCCTATCCTCGTTCATTGTTACAGCCTGAAAGATGAAACAAGGATAAACAAATAAACTTTCAACGAACTCTTTGAGCTATAGTCCAAAAAATATACTTAACTAAAAAGATCTGTCTTTTCTATTCGAGAGATCAAAGGTCCTGATCAGTCACAGGCAACTGGTAATGGCTATATAATAGCCATCACGTATTATTCTCACTCAAAAGCTGAGCAAAAGCTGGGAAATGGTGACAACATGCTATATTGGTGATTTAGCCCATGCTCTTATCCAGATCTCTACAAATTAGAATCGTTCAATTAAAAAATTAAAAAATGGTGCATCAATAAAATCCATTAAAAGTGGCACTTTATACCGTTTTTTAAAAAAAGAAAGAAAAAAAAGTGAATACAAAGACGTTGAGAGGAAATATAATCACGAGATTTTTCATAATCCTTACAAATTTGCATAAGAAATACCCTTACTTATTATAACCGCCATAAGATGAACAATGCTGCAAAAGTAATACCATACTTTAAAATGTCTTCATGTATGACATATATGCAAATAGCTTATGCTCCATTGAAAATTTACTCAGTTTTAAGACATGACGCTGTAAAGATGTCACAAAAATATGCGAAGGCTTAAGAAATGGATTCAGATCAAATTAATTAGGATCAGTTTATGCTAGAAAAACCCTGTCTTCTTTACAACTGCAGATAACCTACAATATATGAGACGCAACAAATAATAGACCTGCAGCACCGTAGCATTAACAACTTGTGCTGCATATGTACGGTTCTATTGAATTTCATATCACAACAACAAAGTTCGAAATCTTATAGAGGGGAAAAAAAGATTACTCGAAAAGATTACTCATCACCTTCAAATCATCGCTGTTTGGCACTACATTTGCACCACCATGCAATTTTACCTCGGATGCTAAAGCCTCGACAGCTCCGCTTACTGCAGCGTTTTCATCATCATGAGTAGTCGATGTCACGGGTTCATTGCTCGAGTCATCCATTTCGGTCCTCTTTCTTATTCGTTTTTCTAAAATTAAACCAACAAATAAATTATGACTTTGCATAGTCACATAAAAACTTGGGGATAAACAAAAAAAAAAAAAAAAAAAACTTAAGGAATAACAGATTCCAGCACACGGTATAAATGGAGCAAAAAGTTCATTCCTGCCGAAAGACTATATATCATGAGCAGCACCGATATATTTAATACCACCAAAATCATGCTCAACTACCAAAATAATGTCTAGATCCCAACAGCCTTGAATAATACCTAGAGCCTAATTACCGCAGAAATTCAAACTACAGAATTACTCATTGCAACGGGAGTGCATACGACCGAGCGTCGGTGCATCAACACTTCAACAAATAGTTCAGGATAATAATTATTAAACTGTTTTGATTCAAATACCTGTCTCCATGTCTATTCGAAAAATCTAGTCTTTGTTAGCTAACATGCAACAATATCATCCCAGATTAATTGACATTCGCTTTTAAAGTTCAGAAAAAAGTGGGATTCGATCCGGTTCAAGTTTGACACAAGGGAAAGTTACCAGTTTTGGTAGATTCGGGTTGTGCGCATTCTTCATGACTGCTAGATGGTACCATAGCGTTATTATCCCAATCATCGTGCTTAGAATTGTTAACATGCCCATCTCCCGATTCGCTATTTCGCCATTGATTCTCCTGTGTAGTTTTGCAACCATCTGAAACAATCATGAATTATAAGCTTTGGTTTTTTTTTCTTTTTTTTGATTATATTTCCATATAACCCAATGTTTTTTTTTTAATTTTTTACTCCTCCCATTTTTTTTACTTTTTTTTCAGTGGACATTTCTTATTTCTATGAAATCATCTGAATTTTTTCCTTAATAATCTTCGGTTTGGACAATTCAGATTCTGGAAAGTACAAATTGCAAATCGATTTTACTTTTGAAGGTCTCATTAAGGTTTCATTCCGAATGATAGCTTCTGCATCAAATACCTAATTCAGCAAAGGAATGCGAAAAAAAAGGAAGAAAAACTCTTCAGTGCATAAAACACATATTACAGCATGACAATATGCAAAATAAGGTATTTGGTATCTTAAACTGCAACATTTTTTATCAAATACTAAACACCATTGCATACCACTAGCATCAATAATTTTCATCAAAAATTCTGCATTATGACAAAGACAAGATATTCATAACTGAAAAACATCACTTAACTCATACCGGAATTATTAGCTAACAAAGTAGGTGGAAAATGCCGCGGTGGATAAAGATTTCGCGATCCTCTTCCCATTCCTGGTGAGTGCATCAATGGTAGCGGTGTTCGCAACACCTACAATTAACAAAAAATATTATGCACAAATCAGTATATTTAATAAAAAAATTGAAATGTTAACAACACAGTTAAATCATCGGAGAACTGTGAAGACCAAAATGAATAGCCTGATTGCAACATGATACTATTTGCACGGAACACATACCCCTCTAACTGGAGCTCCTCCAAAAGGCGGTCCTCCGCGGAAGGGTGAAAACGGTGACCTGTAAGAAACAAATATAAAAATATAGTTGTAGTAGCAGCATAAAAAAATAAAAAAACACAGTGTAACTATTTTTTTTTTCGAATTAAAAAATATTTCGCAATCAAATATTTCGAATATCATAAACAGTATCACAACCATTAGAAGATGAACAAAAGTAATTGAAAATCATACCGCCCAGGAAATACTCCTGGTCGATTTGCTCTCATATTTAGAGATCCACAAGAGGAATTGTACCTGGGAGGCAGCATACTGTAACCTGAAGACATGAATGTATTCGGTCCTGAAAATTATATTCTATTGCGATTGCAACAAAATCTAACTCGTGTTAAATTTTTCAATCCATGTTAGTTCTGAATCAGAAGTCCATTGTAATCAAGGAAAATTAAAATATTAAACTTTCATGAGTAATCCAATCTTTGCATCAAACTCCCAAATTACTGATGCTAAACACAGTCCCAAGCTTGACTTCTAAGAGCTAAAGGTTATAATGTCGATTTATAAGCAAAATGAGAGTGCCTTGGCAGACAAGAACATTGAGAAAAAAAATCCTTCAAAAAATAACCTGGAACACGCATCCTTTCCACATTCATCGCATTGGTAGCAATCTGAAATAAACTAGCCTATAGTTAGCATATGAAACGTATTAACATCAACGTAACATGAAATCACTACTGCTTACTGTTCTAAAATAATATTTAGCAGGCAGAATCATGTTAAGATTCGCAAAAATACTGTACTCTGACCATTGCACTTTGCACACTGATCCACTAATGAAGTGGATAATAATTCACTAATTAAGAGAATATTGATTAAGTATTTAATCCATTATCACGGTGTAAAATGAAAAAGTGCTTTCAAAGTTCCTGAAAAATGCAATGACATTTGACTCCTGCAATTGAATCATCTTTCATAAAATATGTTAACATAAAACGTGTTAACAAAGAGTATTAACATTGCTAATGGTAATCATAATGAAATCATGCCTGCGGCGAAGTCGATGGAGCATTCGTTCCTTGGGTATCAGTTGAGGCACAGTTGTGTGGTTTCGGAGTTGGTGCAGCGCCAGCTAGTGGTACACCTCCAATTGGAGGAGGTAGACCAGGCGGAAAAATGCCAGGAATTGGCATGATTCCATGAGGTAGGAATGGAGCAGCTCCAGACAATCGAGGCGGTTGACCCACTGAATGTTCACGAAGATATTTATGGAACAAATGAAAAAAAAAAACGCAGACTTGCCAAAAATCTATTAACCCACAAGTTCATAAACTTTCTGATCGATATAATTTTAAATATTTGTCAAGAAGATCGATCAAAAGATAAATTTAAAGAAATATTTCAGTTGAAGACCAAAAAATTGAAAATGGATTCTAATTACTATAAAGTTACATATAAGTCATTATTTCTCTAATTTTAATTACTATAAAGTACATAAGTTATTATTTCTCTTCAGAATAACTGACGAGGAAACTGATATGAATGCATATTTGGAGCTATTTGTGGTAACTGAATGTTCGAAGTACACTGAACAGAAGCCGAATCCTGCTCACGTTGCTTTCCTTTCAATCCATGTTCATCATACAAATCTGTAATGAAGCTTCCAACAAAATCCTCATTTCTCTTTCATTTCAAGTCAGTTAAACGAAATGCATTTTAATTTAGTTCAATTAAAATAAACAGATGAAATAACCTTCGAACCATTAATAAGAAAATCAATCAAAAATGAACTTACCAGCAAGATGGGAGGGTAACGATTCTATTTCAAGATGGCCTCCTTCTATTAGAGATTCCAAATCACTAGGCAGAGCAAAATGTGGAATCAACGAGTACCCTCGGTCGGGATCCCAGTACTCCGCGTATCTTTCACCTTTTAAACCTTGTCCAATGCCCCAATTCAACTAAAAAAAGAAAGACAAAGAAAATCAGAAGAAAGTAAAGGTTTAAAGTATAGATCGTTTAAAGTAAAAGAAAATCATATACTATATCATTAAGAATTGCATTATTTTAGAACCTCAGGTGTGCAATTATTTTACCGGTCCTTTCATGCAAAAACAAGAATCAACTCTAACATATGTACTTTGGTGTTTAAGAACTTACTTTGACATTCTTTTCTCCGATTTTGAAATTCTTCTGCATCCGATCCATTACTCGGAACGCTGCTTTCCTGTCTTTCATCGTAACGTATGCACAAGCACGGGAATGTATAATGCTAATGCGTGCTGGTTCTCCAGCTTCAGCTATTGCCTGACGGATTTCATTTTCCGTACAATTCGAAGGAATCCTACCCAACCATAGTGTACATGATGCAACTGCAAATATATGGATCTATATGAAATTGGTAAATCATAAAGTGGAGATAAAATTGGAACCATCTAATGCGACTTAGTTTTTTATCCATCTTATTGGAATTATTCGAATTCGTAACAATAGGCTGCAATGTAAAAAAAGCTACAAGTGATAATTCAGAGGAAAAATACATAGTTTTTTAGTGTGACACTGGAAAGTCTAGCACTTCCGGCTGCAGATGATTCTAGAATAACTTACTCAGTAAATGTCCTTCTTTCGGTGGCCACGGAAGTCCCATTTTCCGACGCAACCGCTCCAAATCTCTGTACTGTAAAAGTTCGAAAATATGAAAATTGTTCAAAGACTACATATAAATATTTGTTTGATTTCCAAATGTATTTTTTTTCCTAAAGATAACTCATTTTTTCCCCAAAAGTAACCGAAATACCATCCGTCAAGCAAGACAAAAATGACACTTCTGCGTGCTGCAGCATAATGTACAGAAATCAAAAATATAAAAATATCGTAAATATAATCATAAATATTCCTCATTTAAAACGGTTGACAATACCTCCTGTCAAGATATCAAGATATCCTCTCATTTAAGTGATTATGAGGTAGAGAAATCTAACCTCCACTACACTTTTAAATAACAAAACTTACTGCTGGATTGTTATGATCACGTTCCGACCGTTCCCTATCAAGATGTCCTCGTGATAAACCTCTTCGTCCATGACTATCACTACGACGATGTTCTCTTCTACGATCTCCAAAGCCCTGATCGCGAGATCGACTACGTCGCGGCCGCTTTGAATGCAGATCCCCAAAGCCGCGACTGTTCCCTCTATCCTCGTGTTCACGATCCCTTCACAATTATTATTACAGTATACCAATGTTAAAATGTAATTACTCCAAGAAAATAAAACCCATTAAAAAATCACCCCCCATTTTGTTTCCAACAAACAGTACATATCAAGAAAAGTAACCAACCTCGAGCGACCGCGCCGCCGTTCCTGACCTTTATCACTCTTTTCACTAATTCTATCATTTCTCCCATGACCACGCCTTAATCGCTCATCTCGATCGCTATCAAATCTGTCATCTCCTTCTCTGCGATAGCGATCATCCTACAGCACAAATATTATAATGCAATAGGTATATGCAGAAGAAACCTATTACGTACATTTAGTAAACCTATTAGTACATTTAGTATGAAGAGAAAAAAAACAGCTAACTGCTTCAAAACCATATAATAATAAGATTTGAACGAAAAGAACAAACGGACATTTTTTTTTTGCTTGGAAAACATTCCGAAAAGAATTGTGTGGAATAGTGGTCGTGATCCCTGATTTTTTGACATTTTGAAATATCTAACATTTCCAAAAAAATAAAAAAATACAAACCATGTCAAATACAATAAAAACAAACTTGATCAATATTATTGCGATCTCGACTGTCGGCATTCGTCGTATTTGCAAGTGACAATCCACCAGGTATCGAAGTAGGGATCTGTGGGGGCATCACACCCAGAAGATTTGGAGGTGGCATATTCGGCGCAAATGCAGCTAATCCGCCCGCATTAAGCAACTGAAATGAATAAGGGTTGAAATTTGCACAAATGAACATGGAAACACTAACTGAAATATACCGTAATCATGAGGAATGTAGCACCTGCCGATAAGCAACATTCTGAAGAAGGTGAATGACGCCAACCGTCAAAAATTTCGTTTTTTAACCTGATAAATAGGTCACATTTGTAAATGAGGTGTCAAAATTTTCTAGCATGGAACAAAGGGAATTTACGAAATTTTTCTTTGGAATACCATAAAAAGTAGATATATGCATTCTAGTTAATTATAATAGCACCTACTTTATGCCGCCTTTCCTTAAATCAAACATCAATTCGACTTGATTAAATACAAGGCCAAATCCCTTTACAAATAAAAAAGAGAACTTACAAATTGTTGTGCTGATCTGGGTGATAATATGTTTGTTGTTGCCGGAGGCTGCAACGACTGACCTGGCATCGGAATCGAAAGTGGAGGAACAGCTGCTGTTATATTCGTTTGTGAGGCAGTGATTGGATTTAACGGAATCGTAATTGGAGGTGCACCCGGTTGAGTTGCTAAGGTACGAGCTGCAGATGGAATACTTCCCTGTTGCTGTTGTTGTTGCTGTTGTTGTTGTTGTTGTTGTTGTTGTTGTTGTTGTTGTTGTTGTTGTTGCTGCTGCTGTTGTTGCTTAACGGCTTGCACCCTTGCTGCAGCTGCCTGGGACAAAGCCGAAATTCGTTCCGTGTGCATGCGCTGTATTTCTTCTTTCGTATCTGGCTCTCGAAGAACTGCTTCTGCCATACTGCAACATATAATTGGATAATAGAATGCATTTGAGTATAATACTTTCGGATGTTTCCAATGATGCACCTTCTAAAATTAATTATAACCCCCGTAAAACCATTTGAGCATTATGCTCTTTGTAAGTAATAATCATAGCGAAAAATTAATTTATTTTCGAGCTAATGTTCAGTGATCATGTGATCTTTCGAACAGTAACATATTCACCATTTCCTCAACTCGCTCAGTGTATCTGTCATTCACGTTCTTTGACTAAAATAAAATGTCATTAATTCTGATCGTTATAAAATGTTATTTACTTAAAAATCAGTTAATACCCTATAATTTGTTGTTTCGTCAGCTCAGCAGGTTTCGCTTCTATCTCCAACTTGCGGTTAAAATCATCGTCACCGCTATCATCCTCATCACTGTAATCGAATTCTTTGGAAAGAAGATTCTGAAAAAGGTACATTAAAACACTAACTAACCATATGAATACTAATCTTATGCACCACTTTATTTATGTTTATTTATGGTTTTATTTTTATTTATGGTAGTCACCATCCTGACAGTATTCGAGACAGGATAATACAGCTTATGACAATAATTTGACTAATTTTATAGTTTACTAGCACTAGGACTATTAAAAGTTTTGTTTTAAAGTTCGTTTTAAAGTTTGTTCGGCATAATTTTTAGCAAAGATCAATAAAAGAATTTACTTTATCTCGGAGTCATCAATAAAAGGCAGAGTTCTGAACTAAACATACGTTAGAAATTCTTTCAGAAAAATGAAAAGGCCCCATACAAACCTTGATGTTCCCCTGTCTTTTCGAATCTAACTCTCGACGTTCAGTAAGTTTGTCGTTGACTAGTTTGTTGACTTTCTGCAATAACGATGAATCGGACGTGAACATTCCACCAAGATCCAAACCCATTGTAGTTAGCATCGCAAGCGTTTCACGCTCGCTTACGCCTCCTTCTACAGCATCATCACTCGGCTCACGAAAAGGTAAAGGTGGTGTACGTGATCGATTTCCCTAAAATTTGCAATAAAATTCCGAAGCTCTTCGAAAATTTTCTTCAAATATTGCTTATATTACGCCATTTATGTTTGATAATAAATTATATGATGAAAGTCATCGGTACCTGAAAAATTAAATTTTAAAGAATATGTTGAAGCCTATCTATCCAAGCAGTAATTTATTCAAGATCGAAGGCTGTCTCCTTGCACATGCAACCTTATTTTTGAAAAAAATATTCCCTAACATACAGATAATGGAGCTTGTGATTCCATTAGTTTTCGCTTTTCACCACGACCAGGGATGCGACTATATATCGAGAAGTCCGCCTGATCACCCTTTACACTTTTTTCTACGATCACAACATCGGTTTCTGAAAAATATCCTTATTAGGATTAATAATTTCATTTTATAATAAATTAAGATGCTTATTTGCTATAACTTCGTTTATTTCAAGGATTGTTTGCCTACTGAACATTTTTTTGAACGCCGAGAACATTTTTCTCTAGCATTATGGAACACATATCAGATGACATTGAAGTCCTAAAGTCCCAAATAAGGCTCAGTTCTTTGTTGAACTACAATTACGCAACTGAGAACAGTTATACAGCTGCGCAACTTTGGCAATTAAAACCTATGAAAAATGAAGCTGAAAAAAAAGGAAAAGAAACCAAGTCCATGAACATCCCGACAATAATCCAGCCATGGTCGTAACTTCCCTGTATCAAATATTTCATGACTTTTCCATAAATTCAAAACTCGAACCACTTTCAACTATAAATAGTATAACTGGAAATATCGTAAGTATGAAATAAAGAAAAGTAATAGTTTTAAGGAATATAACAGTTTAGTAGCTAGAAGGAAAGAGCTCGTGAAGTACTAACTACAACTTATAGTATTATAAACCAAAGCTAACAATAAAGTACAAAGAAAAAAATCAATCACATACAATATGATGTCTTGTATTAATAAATTATAGACCAAAAATAATTTTAAGATCTATGAATACCTTATCATCAGCCTTACAATTCAACAAATTCGAAAGAGTTGCTTGCATATTGATCGCAAAACGTGGACCAAAAACATCTTTGTCTTTGAACTGATGACGCGATTGCCGTATTATGGAATCGATACAATATAGACCAGGTATCTTATATTCTGTTTTGCACTGAAAATGAAAACAGCCAATTAACAAGAAAACTAAAAAAACACTGTTTGTTAGTCAATAAAAAACTAAAAAATACTGTTTCAGCCAACGAACAAAAGAGACGATTCGATATATCAGGAGTTTTAGATTTACATCGGTGATTCGCTTCACCATATCAAGAAAGTGTATTCAGATTCCACCCATATTTTATCAAATATTACTAGAGAAATAGCTATGCCATCCTTGAAAAAACAAGGGCGTACCGTTATTTTTATTAAAATCTTAGATATCAACTTATATCACCTTCATCAAAAATTTTTCGACTCCAAAGACGACATGTTTGTAATATTTGATAGCTTTCATTGCCGCCTTTGTGATATCCACAATCTTTTTCTTACTTATCGGTGGTCGTAATTCGTACAGAGACACCAACTGAAAGTTATGCGTCTTTCATTTCAGTTCATCATCCCATTATTTAACTGTCAATTTATTCCTATTACTCCCAGCAAATATTTCTGTTAGATATATACTCTATAGATACCATCAAATTATGTGGACGATATTACCTCTGCCCTATAAGTCAAGTTTTGAACAATATCGTCAGTCTGTTTGTTGCATGTAAAATGACATTTGATGCATAAATTTGAGATTGAGATGCCTAGGGGATCCGTCTTGCATATAACACGCTCTGTCATGGCAATGTAAGAGTCATATCCATATCAGGATTTTGGGTACAATTGTCACTGACTATAGTATCATTAGGAGTGACAGTCGTCTTGACACTATAAACAAAATTTGGTCTTCTTAAACAAAATTTCCTCCTATCAGCACCAGCAATACTTAATCGATAGCTTATTTAAGATACTGAATAATATCATAGTAATGTCATACCTCAGCATTAAATGCTCTTACAACCTCCGTCTCCATTGTTCGATTACTTATTCACTGTTTTTCCAATGAAAGTTAATAAATTGAAAAATTCATTAAAACCGACACTTCCAGAGCAACAATTTCGGTAGATACAATTGCTATCCCTGAAATTAAGTACTCAATGCATTTTCTAAGTATTCATTTTGATGCATTTCAACGTCGAAATTTACAACCCAAACAATCCACAGATAGCGGATGAAACTTGTGAATATTAATTAAAAGTGACCCAAATCTAGGAAAAAAACTTTTGATCAATATTTCAATAAAAAGAAAAAAAGAAAATTTTGACCAAAACCTCCGTACTCACCAAATACGAATTCAAGAAATCAAAAAACAACGGCACCCATTTAACCCGAGAAAACCCCAGTCCGGTACATTATCAAACCACTAAATAAGCTTTATTTCAGACCATACTGACATCTATGTGAAACTCGTTTGAATCATTGGAAGATAGTTTCTAACTGAAAATGAGTAGAAATATTTTATGGATATCATTCTTCAAGCAAGAAACTATTACAGGTATTTAAATAAAGCCTTTGAAACACTTAAATCACGTAACTCTTAGACGTCGAAGTAAAGCTTTTGAAACATTTAAATGACGTAACTCTCAGACGTCTAAGTAAAACCTTTGAAACATTTGAATGATATAACTCTCGGACATCTAAGTAAAGCCTTGGAAACATTGACTTGACGCAATCCTCATATGCTTTCACGTATATATGATGCGATTTTTGGATTAGGAAAATAGGCGACTAATGCCTTAAAATATACATCCATTGTCAAATATATATATATATATATATATATATATATATCCAATAATAAAATACAATATACTGAAATATAGTATGTCAATATCAATACAGCACACCAATATAGTATATCATACCTCATTACAGTATATATTAATACAATATATTGACACATTATATTGGTATGTTTTGTATTAATACAGTACACCATATACTTAATGCTATAAATACGCTACGTGAAACAATGATACAGTCATGGTTTGGCCTCGCAAACGACGCTATATCCACGCTTGCTGCAGACGTACTGATGGCTATGACAGTCAATGCCGAATACATATACTGTATTATATTATATTATTAATATACTGTATTATATTTAGCAAAAAGTTCGGATATAAAGGGTACAGTGGAAGATATGTTCAGGCGGTGTTGAGAAGTTAGTGTATGATATACTGCATTAATATTGACATACTGTATTTCAGAGTACTGTATTTCCATTACTGGGATATATATACATACATATATATATTTAGCAATGGATTCTGATTTCTAATATTCCAGTACGCAAGTATCAATTTGTGTTTGCCTTTGGAGGCAGGTGTATGTTTTTATTTTTTTTGTCTTTGTTTGACCGCCTCAGGAAATGTCCGTTGGTAGCGTGGTCAGCCAACGGGTGGAGATGGAGATGAGCTTTGGTTAGGTCATCTTTTCTGGACCACTCTCTGTATAGAACAAACAATGCTTTCGTTGAAAAAAGCTGTTTGATCGTTTAAAATGCTGCCGAACAAGACTGTCATCTCCAGGATCAATCAATGTCCTGAACCACTTCCATGCAGGGTTGGATCTACGGTTTCCAGTGCATCCTATCACCTGCCGTTTTGTTGCCTGTCGCTACAGGGCTTCAAAAAGTGTGTGTATCCTTCGAATCTGCTCAGTGGACTTTTTATTTTTTTAGGTGAGGCGTGGTACTAGTCTTGTCCTTTCAACCTAAGGTTCATTTGGCGAGCTAGCGAGTTTAGATTATAGCAGCGAAGTCCTTCGGACAAAATTTTTTTTTTTAGTTGAAGTATCTTCTGAGACAGATGGCGTTATAGAGCTAAACAATGTCCTTCTCCTAGGATGGTTGACCGAAGAGTAACGAGCCCTTACTACCTGTGAACACACTTTGTCTAACCCTTTAGTTCAGACCTATCTGGCACCTACCGGTGACAATTGTACCGCTAGCATAATTCTCAACCTCATAAAAGCGCGCAAGCTTCTCCTGCGACAAGAGGGTGAAAAATAATATAGTACAACAATTTGATATTACATATTTAGTATTTTGCCAAAGAATACATCCATGAAATTTTGTGCCAATAATATGCATTGTATTACAGAATGTATACTGACCAATAATAAGTACTGTATTAATATGCATTGTATTACTGTGCCACCAATATGCACTAGATCAATAATATGCATGTATTACAATGATATATTATACAAATAGTATGGTATATCCGGTATTCAGTACGGTAGTAAGCTATTTCTAAATACTTAACACTGTAATTCAAGCAACTGGCTTAGAGGATGCATTATTTTTAAACATGTATCAATTTGTTGTTTCCAGATATCATTTATCCATCCATCATTCCCATTATAGAAGTAAATGATTAGCTAGTAATATAGCAATAATTATCTACCCTGCAATACTTTATATGCAAAATTAACTTCTTCTAAATCATACCATTTATTTAAATTTATATCTTTTGGCAAATTTTGCAGCATTGTATCGTTCCATTGCCAAAGTTTTTTATTTCTTATTTTTCAATCATCATAGAAAGAAAATTATTCAAATTTTTTTTCTTATCCGTTTTCATTACCGCACCTCATTTCTCCTTAGTTTTTATACAAAATTTGGACTAATTAGCTAAAATTATTATTACCAATATTTACACAAATTATTAATAAAAAAGTTAAGGGAATTTGTAAATTTAGACTTTGATGGTAATAAATTTTCAATAATTTTCATATTATTTATTATTTATAGCATGAAATGATGAAAAGATTACAAAATATTTCCAATATATGCGACAATAATTAGCTATTTGGATCAGCAATCAACTTCAACTGAATCTTTTTAATCTGTAAATGATCATTGTTATCATTCGTTTCATTATTTCTTTTTTTTTTTTTAACAGGTTTAATCGTTATTTGTTGTTCATCATATGGAAATTTATTAAAATTGGCAATGTAATCAATAATTATAACATTTTTATCTTTGACCAAAATTTATTTATTATTTATTTTTAATTGTTTCCTTATTATTTGTTATTATGCTTGTGTATTTTTATGTATGAATGTATGTGTGTATATGTATGTCAAAATTTAAATTTGAAATTTCAGAATATTTGGTTGAAATCTAAATTTTACATTGCAGAATCCGAATTTTATAGCTAACAAACAATCTAAGCCTTTTTGCTTATTACTTTTTAAAAAAGCATTTTCTGGCGTATTTACAACAATTTGATATGCAGAATATATCAATTTAGCTTACGTAATTAACATATTTATGGCGTATCTTTCTTTGAAACTTTTAAAGAATAAATTTTTGTATTGGGAAGAAAAATTATTAATGCTTGCTGATAAATTGATTTATTTATTGCTAATTAATGTCATCATTTTTCATCGCAATCATATTGTTTTGTGAAATTTTATTCGAATTCAATTTTTATCTCAGAAAAAGTTTGGCTTTTTTTTTTTGAAAAACCAAAAATTCCAAATCTCTATCTGGACGATCGAAATTTAGCATTACTATTAGTTTATCAAATTTTAAATGACAATAATACTTTACAACATTATTTTACCACTACAAAAGATAAACTAACTTTTGTAGCATCTGAACTTTTCTTGACCCTGTTGTAACCGCTTGACCAAATTTTTTAGACGTCCTAGACATAGTCCATAGTTGTTACTCAACTTATCCTTCGATTCTTTCCATGGCCATCTTACTTGATATCTGTTATTATATTTCGTTATAGATTTCTTAAATTGCTTCAGTGCCTCTTCATCGCCATCGGCATTAGGTCCTTCTTGTATTCCCATGACTTCTAGTTTCCAGAAATTTTCTATTTCTGATCCTATGGTTAAAGTGGATATTGTGTTGGAAATATGTGTCGTACTTTTTTCACACAATTGGTTTATATCGCCACTTCCCGCAATCATTGGTTCCAACTTTTGTGTGAAGTAGTGAGAATCCTGATTTTAATGTTTCGATTCTTTCCAATTCCACAAATTTGAAGAAATGATCTGCTCCGATTAAGATGTCAGGTCGTTTCCAATAATTTTTAGCTTCATTGTGTGGTTGGCTATTGGTATTTTGACAACATGTAATTCATTAGTTAAGTATTCGATTACATTGGCGCGTAATTGGATAGTCTCATCTG